GCCGTTGTGGCGGATCGTGACACCCTACAGGAGGAGGGAACGGCCGAGGTGGCGGGAGGGGAGCGAGGCCGCTCAGGGGGACGGGTCACGCCCCGAGCGCGTGGCGCGGCCGGCCCCGCCGGCGGGCCCGTCGCGTCCTCAAACCAAAAACGCTCTGGCCAGGGGCGACTCGGGTCCAGGGCGCGGTCGAGGCAGCCGAGGGACGCATCGGAGCCGAAGGGGTCACAAGACGGGGAAGAGCGGGCGCGGCGGAGCGCGCTCAGGCCGTGAAGCTCTCGCGCGTGTCTGCGGGAGCGCAGGCTCACACGGGCAGCAGACCGGGAGTGGCAGGGCAGGACATGCAGCCGTGCCGAGGTGCGGCTAGTCCATGAGATGCCGGGCGGCGTAACTCCGTAGGAAACACACAAACACAAACACAAACACAAACACAAACACACACACACACACAAAAAAAAAAAAAACTTGGCACACACACACACACACACTTAGACAAAAAACAAAAAAAAACAACAAAAAACAATATATATATACAACAAAAAACGTCCGGGACATTGGGAGCTATGTTCAGCCTCTGGGGGCCCTCGCTGGCCCCGCGGCCGCGAAAAAACAACCCAGGGAATGGGTCGAGACCTCTGGGGGTCGACGCTGTGAACAAAAATCAGCACGTCTGGGGTTTGGGATGGCGGCCATCGGGAGGCCGCAGCGGACGAAAGAGGGCAGGGATCGGGCTCCATCCGCAGGAGGTCTGGGGGGGAGGTCTCTGGAGCCCCGAGAGCAGCTCGGACCTCTCGTCAAACAGCAGCCGAATGCTTGAACGAAAGGGCCCTCGGGAGCCCAGAGCTGCGTTTTTTTATGGGTTGATATGTTGTTGCTTTGTGTTGGTTGATTGCTTATGCTATGTTTCATATTCCTATCTTATGCTTGTATATATGTTTTGATAGTTGTTGCAGTGTATGCATATAGTACGCTTTGATAGCTGTTGCTTCTTCTTGTATGGGGGGAAGCCCCGAGCTGCTTCTTGTATGTATTGATAGTTGTTGTTTTGTGTTGCTTTATTGCTTATGCTATTTTCCACGCTTCTTTGGGGGGGGAGGGGGAGGGAGCCCAGAGCTGCCTGGACCGCAACGATACGACGCACGGGGCGCTCCAGGAGGAGCGCCTCGCCCTCGGCGAGGACCCCGCCCTCGGCGGAGGCAGCACCCCGGCGGCGGGCCTCCGCCCGCGGAGGCCCGCCGAGGGGCAGCGCAGGGCGGCGAAGCGAGAGTGGGGCGCCAGCGTATTTGGGTTCGGGTGGGGGAGGAGGAGGAAAGGGGAGGAGAGGAGGAGGAGGAGGAGGAGGAGGAGGAGGAGGAGGAGGAGGAGGAGGAGGAGGAGGGAGGGAGGGGAGGAGGAGGAGGAGGAGGGGGAGGAGGAGGGGGAGGAGGAGGAGGAGGAGGAGGAGGAGGAGGAGGAGGAGGAGGAGGAGGAGGGAGGAGGAGGAGGGCGGAGGGAGGAGGAGGAGGGAAGGAGGAGGACATGGAGAGGAGGAGGAGGAGGAGGAGGAGGAGGGGGAGGGAGGAGGAGGAGGAGGAGGAGGAGGAGGAGGAGGAGGAGGAGGAGGAGGAGCGAGGAGGAGGAGCGAGGAGGAGGGCGGCTGGAATTGGCAGTGTGGCTGGGCTCACGCGTCGGCGGCGAGCAAGGGGGGGGGGGAGTGGAAGTTTTCTGGGCCTCCCCCGAGGACAGAGAACACGTCTGAGAAGTCCCGCCGCCTTCTGAGAAGGCCTTCTCCTTCTCACTTCCCCCCTCGCTCGCCGCCGAACATGTGGAACATCTAGAAGCCACGCACTGGATGTACATGCGGTGGCCCGGCGTGCGTAGCCATAGAAGAGTGAAGCGCTGGAAAGCCATGTGGTCACATGTCTATCCAACTCTCGCCCTTTGCCGGTCGGGTCGTGTATACAGCTCTTCCTGAAACTTTGTGGCGCGGCTGTAGCCCATGCAGGTCCCCCGTCGAGTGCGGACGCGAAAAGCCCAGTAAAAGAAGAACGAACGGCATAAACATTTGCAAGTCCGCCTGGATCTCCAAAAGTTTCTGGTGATGCCGGTTTTCTTCTGCGAGGTCCCCTCTCTAGTGCGGACGCGAGCGGCCCAGGGCGCCACAGTCGGCCCCGAAGCTGGAAGCCGAAGGCCGTGGCACGTTTTCTGGGGTGGGCAATCCGACTGAGGCTCCACGGTGGATGAATGTCTAGACGTTCCAGTTCGCGGGCCGGCAGTTGGACGCCCAACAGCTGGCAGCCTACATCTCAGACGTAGCCCTGATTCATGCGTGTGAGGCTTGATGAATGCGATCGTTACACGTCGCCCCATTCGCGCCAGTAAAAGAAGTGGTGACCATCGCCATGCGGACGCAGGCAATCGACGAGCGCCGGAGCAGATGTTTGCCTTCACCATGGCCTCAGATCACAATGCCTGCAAGATGAGTGAAAGAGCCAGTATCGCTGGCACGTGCGGAGATCGCATTGTACTTTGCAGATACGGTGTGGTATGCCTCTTTCTCGCGGCGCCAGAAGTCTACAACGCCCTTGTGGTTTTCACCGCCCGGACGGTTACAGTCGACATTGATGTATCCGCACGTCGGCGGCTCAACACCAGGTACATAATTACATCGCCCACAACTGCGCGTGTCATTGTCGTTTGCTTTGAAGTCCGACCAGTGCCACAGAGTTACCCCCGAAATGCCACTGTGGTTCAGGGCGATGTCCACGTCTTGGGAAATAATGTCGGCCTGCAAGCGCTGCGTCCACCTTGCGTCGGTGCTGTTGTGCGACCACTCGTAAACCGCCCCCGCGCCAGTCTCGCTGATCACGAACGGCTTGCCCGGGTACTCCGAGAGCACGAACGCCGCCATGCGGCTCCAGTGCTCTGCTGGCGTCTCGTCGTGCGTGTACCAGCCGGGGTAACTGTTGAACGCGATCAGGGAGGCGTGACTCAAGCACTTGCTCCTCTCCCCCCTGTTGTCCGCCCACGTGGTGAAGCGGCTGGGATCCCGCCCGCGGACCAGGCTGGCGCAGGCCTCGTACGCGGGGCACGCGTCGCCGTACTCGCTCTGGCCCTCGTTGAACCACCCCCAGGCCATGATGGACGCGTGGTTCATCGACATGTCCTGGGGAAACCAAGACGACACCGAGATGACTACTCCCCCGACCTCTCCCAGGGTGCATGCTGCCTAGAACTTCGAGGCACATCCAGCGGTGGCGACGAGGGCCTCCCAGGAGGCCCACAAGGGCGAAAACGAGGCAAGGGTAGGAGTATCGATACCTTTTTTCCTCCTCTGATGTCCAGCATCTCGCCCAGCTGCTGGAGCTGGAAGCGCATGAAGTGTCCCCAGTCCCGCATGTCGGCCACCGTGACACCAGGGCCAAGCGCCTCCTCCCACATGGCCACGCCCTCCTCGTCGAGGCGATCCAGCCAGCGCTGGTCCTGAGGGTAGTGCGCGCCCCGGACGTAGTTGCAGCCCGCGGCGCGCATGAGACCCAGGTCGTCGTCGAGCTGCGCGTCGGTCGGGGAGGGCCCCGTGCCTGGCCACTCCGTGTGGTGGTTCCACCCGTGCAGCTTGACGACCTCCCCGTTGAGCGTGAGCCTGGAGGTGGACTCGTCGACGCCCCACCGTCGCAACCCGAAGCGCTCCACGACGCCGTCGCCCCCAGCGCTGAGGACACGCACCGTGTGCAGCTGCGGGTCGCGCAACGACCAGAGCCGTGGCGAGGGCACTCTCAGCCCAGGGAGTTCCACCGTGCCGTGCTCGGCGACAGCCCTCAGCGCCTGCAGGCTGCCATCGTCAAAAGCGATACTCAACTCGACTGGCCCGCTGTATATCGGGTCGGTCAGAATCACCGTCAAGTCTACAGCTCCTTGCCGGTAGCCATCCGCGGCAGGCACGGCGTACGCGCGCCAGGGCCACGGAGAGCCCGAGGTGGGGAGGTCGTGCAGCAGCACGCTCCGGAACAGCCCCCCGTAGTGCCAGAAGTCGCCGCCAGTGTGCAGCGGCGCCGTGGTCCTGTTCCAACGATTGTCTGCGAGCACGAAGAGCTCGCGCACCGTCTCCCGCTCCACGCTCGGGACGTCGAGGAAAATCGACTGCACGCTGGAGTGGCCCTGGGTGAGAGTGATCTTTGGTGCGCGGCTTTTTGGGGGCGCGAGGAGGCCAAACCCAGGCGCGCAGGCCGCTGCTGTCGCATGGCGTTCGGTGATCGCGGGGCACAATGGGCACGCACAGAAGGTCACTCCGGCGAAGGGTTACTCTTACGTGCAGTCGAGAAAAATCCAACGTAGCCCCCCGCCCGGTGCTCCCCGATCTCAGCCCCGTCGACAAAGACCCTGCAGTAGAAGCCGCAGGCGTTGAGCTGCAGACGGGCGGGTCCCTTGCGCTGGGTGACGTCCGACGACCCTCATCGACGACGTGCTGGCGCCAACGACGTGCGCTTGTCCACCGAAGCCCTGCAGCGCGAGGTACAGTCAACACGTGCATCAAGGACGGATGGGAAGGACACGAGACCCTTGGAGGCCGAAGTTGGGATTTTATGGGCGGCGGGTGACCAGTGAAAACAGCAAAGGACGGACCGCAGAGGCAAGGACACAGGGGCACCCCAGATGAAGGCGCGCGTCCTCGCTGGGCGCGTTGGCTGTAGGCAGCGTAATGAGGCCCGACACGGGGTGCGTGCTGATGGCAGAGCTGAACAGGACAAGCACTCGCTTGGGTGGCGACATTCGAACCCCACCCCCGTCAAACATCGGTTCGGGAGGCGAGGGCAGGTCTCGGATTCCGCCGCTGATCATTGGGCTGACACACGTCTGGAGGGTCGTCGAGAAGTTGCGCCTGTACATGGCGACGCCCCGCGGTCCCAGTGACCCTGGCGGCGCGACGTCCATGCCCATCGGCACCTCCGTGGAGTTCGGCGTGAGCTCCGCGCGGGAGACGTCGAGTCCGGGGCGCGCGGAGTCGAAGCCCTCCTCGCCGAAGACGTGAAGGCCATGACAGAAGAGCAGAAACCGCGCAAGCACACTGTACTCTCGGAGGCCCGCGCGGACCTCTCGGGTCGGCGCTGACCCCCCCCGGCCCCTCGCGCGCGGGAGCGCGCCGGGGGACGGCGCCAGGGACGCCGCCAGGGCAGGCCCAACGCCGCCCCAAGAATAAGCGGACGAAGGACGGCAGAAAATGGCCCGTTCCGCCATCGGGACTGCCTGCCTCAGGGCGGCTGGGGAGATTCGATCCCGAAATACACCACCGTCAGGGTATACAGCCAACCCGTATCGTAAGGACGCGTGGAGAGGATGCAAGGGCCTTGGAGGCCCATGTGAACGTTCTTCGAACGAGGTTGGCCAACGAAAGTCGCCCAGGGTGGGCCGAAGGGGCAAGGATGCAGGGGCACCCTTGGGAGGGTTGCCCGTCCGTGCTGTGTGGGTTGACTGTAAGCTTCCCAGCCGCCCTGGGCCAGGCGCCCCAGGAGGCGGGAGAGTGCTCGGGTTCTGCCGTGGCGCGCTTGCCAGACGAGTCTGACGAGGAGAGGAGTCTGAGGAGGAGGAGGAGAAGGAGGAGGAGGAGGAGAAGGGGGAGGAGTCTGAGGAGGAGGAGGAGGAGGAGGAGGGAGGAGGAGGAGGAGGAGGAGGAGGAGGGAGGGAGGGAGGGAGGGACGGAGGGAGGGAGGGAGGGAGGGAGGGAGGAGGGAGGGGGAGAGGAGGAGGAGGAGGAGGAGGAGGAGGAGGAGGAGGAGGAGGAGGAGGAGGAGGAGGAGGAGGAGGTGTGCTGCTGCCGCTTGCTGCCCTTCAGCATAGCGCCACTCGCCGTCCAGCAGCCGCACCCTCCGCCCGCCTTCGTACTCGGGCCAGAAGCCCATCGAGGGCCGCGCGGAGGCGGGCCGAGACGCGGACGCGACGAGGAGCAGGGCTGAACCTGAACGGTGCTTTTCGTTTTCGTTTTTGGTTTCGTTTTCCCTCGTTTTGTCGTCAATCCACCTCTATCGCAAAACGAAGCCGAAACGAAAACGGCCCACGAAATCGCCAAAACACCGTTTAGGTCCAGCCCTGACGAGGAGGTGCGCCGCGGCCAGGGCCGCCCGCAGGACCGTCATGTCAGCCGGCATCATCCCCCGCGCGGGGACGCGGCCGATCGTCGCCTCGAGCCAGGACGGCCTCGGAGGAGTTTGGAACCGATGCGGGCATGAATTACAGCCATTCCACCACGACCGGGCCCGCTCGGGCTCGTGGTCGGGCCCCCTTTGCCGTGCCCTTCCCCACCCGTGGTGCTGCTGGCCCGACGTCGAGTCGCCCGCGTCGTGTCCTCCGGATTTCATGCACGAACCTCTGTGGGGGCCTCAAGCCTCCCAGACGAGGATTTTCGGGACCCCCTCCCCCAGACCAGCCACGAAAGGGCGGCCTTTTGCCAAGACCCCTTTTTGCCACGAAGGGCACCACGTCTCACGCGGGCATGAATTACAGCCCCCGTCCCCCAAAACCCGAGACGCGGTGCACGTGGATCACAGCCTGGCCTCTAGCGAGGCCATGCGCTTGCCCACAGCAGCTGCGTCTCGGAGCCTGGGCACCCCTTTCCAAACAAGATCCGAGATGCCACTGATCATCGATAGAAATCTTGCCCACAGTCGGGGCTCGGCGGTGGGCGGGGGGGGGGAGTGAGAAGGGGCGGGCTTTCTCAGAAGGCTCGGAAGTCACCCGGCCTTCTGAGAAGTTCTCTGAGCCTTCCCCGAAGACAAGAAAGACCTTCTCAGAAGGCGGCGCGATGGCATCTGAGAAGTCCCGCCGCCTTCTAAAGAAAGCCTTCTCCTTCTCGCTTCCCCCCTCGCTCGCCGCCACTTTTTGCTCTCCTCATCCTCCTCCTCCGTCTCCTCCTCCTCCTCCTCCTCCTCCTCCTCCTCCTCCTCCTCCTCCTCCTCCTCCTCCTCCTCCTCCTCCTCCTCCTCCTCCTCCTCCCGCTTCGCAGGGGCGAGGGCGCGGGACGCACGCCACGAAAACCTACACGTAGACACCCGCCGACTGGTTGCTCCTGCCTTCAGGGAGAATCAGCGCACCAGACCGCTGGCACTTGGTGGCGAGTTGTGGTCTGAAACTTTTGCTCAGCGTGTCGCGGCGGCGGCCCCATCGATACGCTATGCCCTGCGAGCTGATAGCGTGCCGCTCCGCTCCGCGGAGCGGGGTGCGGGGAAAAGCTTGGGACGTTGACGCTTGGGGACTGGGACGTGGATAGTGTGTCGCGCCGAAGCGTGATGGGCCAGAACTGGCGGCGCAACACGCTAAGCCAAAGTTCCTGACCGTATAAGCCGCCACCCTCCCCTGAGGCCCAGGAACATTCCACCAGTGGTGGTGTCTGTGCATGTAGCTCTGCGGCGGAGGACGCGAGGGCTGCACGCGGGGACGATGCCCAACAGCAGACGTGCGCACGGGTACACGGTTGACGTCGGCGGCGCCTCGGACCCGGACCACGGCGTCGTGGATTGTTCATGACGTGGATCCCCAGAAGTCTACCGTCGGAGACTTTTGCTTAGCGTGTCGTCGCACATAGCGTGTCCTGCAAGCGGATAGCGTGTCGCTCCGCTCCTTGGGGCGGGAGACTCGAAAAGGCTCGGGAGGTTGAAGCCTAGGGACTGGGAAGTGCATAGCGTGTCGCGCCGCAGCGTGGTGGGCCAGAGCTGACGGCAACCCCCCGTCCCAGGGACCGGCTTCTTATCCTGAGTCGATGGTTGACGGTCTCGAGGCCCAGTAGCGGCAACCGGAGGCCGAAAAGGGTATATAAAACAAAACAAGAAACAAAAAAAACGTCCGTCGTGATTTTGCCACGACACGACGGGGCCTGGCAAAGGGGGCGAAGGGCGCGGGACGCAAGGGCTGCACGCGGGAGCAATGCCCAACAGCAGGCGCGCGCTGCGGGGAGGTGGTTGCCTAGCAGACCACCCCGGCCCAACCCGAAGACCCGAATTTCGGGCCTGGGCGGGCGGTACCGCCCGACTTTCGGGTTGGGGGATGTACGGATTCCATCCGTGTTTCTTCACTGTTCCCCGGCGCCCCCCCCCACTGGGAATGGAGGGCAAATCGGGGCATTCTGCTCGGGTTGGGGGTTGGGATGGCTTGGTGGGTGGTGAGGCGGAGGGGGCGCATGTCTCGACACCGGCGGCGCCTCGGGGGGAGCACGCGTCGGGGATCTTCTGACCCGGGACAATCCGAACCCGGGTCAGTCAGGCCTTGCAGGAGCCTGCAGGATCCTGCACCCAAGCCCGAGTCAGTGCGACCCTGGCCCTGCAGGACCCTGCAGGATCCGCCGCTCCGCCTGACAACCGTCTGCACTGACCCCCGTCTCTTGAGTAGGGCGTTGGCAGAACTGGGTCTAATGGGACCTGGTTTAGAGATGTGTACTGGGGGACGACCCCCCCCCGCCCCGTTCCACTGACCGGAACTGCCGTCACCCGAAAAACACCAGCCACGGCAGACCTGGTTTGGCGATCCTGGCCAATTTAGGGGCTCGGGGGCCCTACTACTGACCGGGTTCCCTTACCTGGTAAGGAGGCAACTACTGGGAGGTCTCCGTCGGAAAGATTAAAAAGGATTACGCCCCAATGTGGCGCTGTTACGCCAGATTGGGCCTCGCAGTACGCGGGGTTAGGCCAGATTTGGCGGGATGAAGCCGAATTCAACGGGATTGAGCGGGATCGAGCCAGATTGAGCCGGACTTCGGATCAGGGCGGAACCAGAATTTGACCTCCCAGGAGTTGCATCCAACCTGTCAAAAAATAATCCCTAAATAGTCTGGGGACTATTTGTGGACTATTTTGGGAATATTTCTTGGGGTACTTCCTGCATTTTTCGGCGAAAATCCCCTGGGGCCCTGGCTATACCCGATGGAGCCCCGGACGAGGCACGAGGCTTCTGCCGGCCCCCTCCAGAGCCCGAGGGGCCCCGCCGAGGCCTCCGGCGCAGCCTCTGCTCCCCGAGGCGAGGCGCAGAACCAGCCGCGCGAGGGCGGAGCTGCACGAGGCTCTTCGACGGCGAGCGAGGGGCGGGGAAGTGAGAAGGAGGAGGAAGAGAAGGAGGAGGAGGAGGAGGAGGAGGAGGGAGGAGGAGGAGGAGGGAGGAGGAGGAGGAGGGGGGGGAGGAGGAGGAGGAGGAGGAGGAGGGAGGAGGAGGAGGAGGAGGAGGAGGAGGGGGGGAAGGAGAAGGAAGAAAAGAGGAGGAGGAGGAGGAGGAGGAAAAAGGAGGAGGAGGAGGAGGAGGAGGGGGGGAGGAAATGGAGGAGGGGGAGGAGGAGGAGGAGGAGGAGGAGGAGGAGGAGGAGGAGGAGGACGACGAGGAGGAGGACGACGAGGAGGAGGAGGAGGAGGGGGAGGGGGAGGAGAGAAGAAGAAGGCCTTGTCAGAAGGCGGCGGGACTTCTCAGGAGCCCTCGCGCCCCCTGAGAGGCTTTCGTCTGCCTTCGGGGGAAGGCTCAGAGAACTTCTCAGAAGGCCAGGTGGCATCCGAGCCTTCTGAGAAGGCCCGCCCGTTCTCACTACCCCCCCTCGCTCGCCGCCGACTTCTCTGGCCCCAACCAGGGCCTCAGGCCTTGCCGAGCTCTCGGCGCAGCTGCTCCGAAGCGAAGCGAGGACCCGCAGCGCAAGAGCAGAGCTCAGCTGCCCCGAAACGCCACACACAGCACGCGGCGTGCTGGCACAGAGCTCTACGCGTGGACTGATAACGTAGATCTGACGCGGTGCGTTCGCCAAAACGCGGGCCAAGACGTCGAGCCAGCACGCAACGTGTGGCCACGGACGTGTTGAGCGCACGGCGCGTGCTGCGTATCGAAACGGGCGCATCGAAGGGGCTGCACGAGGCGTTCTCCCAGCTCCCCTTGGAACCTGGGACCTCCCCCGAGGTCTCGGCGCGTCGCTCCGAAACGAAGCGCCGACACCCAGCGCAACGAGCGGCGGAGCTGCAGGAGGCTGCTTCCAGCCCCCCCGGAGCCTCGGACCTCGCCGAGATCGGCACGGCGGCTCCGAGGCGTCGACCCCAGCGCATCCCTGACGTGCTGGGACTAGGCTGGCAGTTTCGGCAGGGCTCCGGTGCTGTCCCCGGAGTGGGCAGCGGCCACTGCCGACCAGACGACGACCGCCCAGCAGATGGACAGCGTTCGCCTCAAAACCGACAGCAACTCATGGCCAGAAGAAACAGGGCTGCTGTCAGTTGGAGACGTCCAGGGGTCCGAAGTGGCCCAGCACTGGTTCCGGCCAGCACAAACGGTGGTCAAGGTCGAGGCTCTGGGTTCGGAAACGTGTTTTGCCTTTTTCGGCCTCCGGGGGCCGTTGTCGGGCCCTGGGACCGTGAGGGATCCAGGATGAAAACTTCACCAGGTGGACCCCGGGAGGGATCTGGGAACCGATCTTGAACGGATTTAGCTGCATCCCCCGACCTGACCAATTCTCTGGGGCCGCCTCCAAGCTGTCAGACATCATCTGCATTCCTCGTGCGCCCGTTGCGGGCCTCTGGATGGAAGAATTCGGCACGGGGCTTCCCCACACACCCTGTCCTGGCGAGCACACCAGAATACTCAAGGCTCCCCTTCAAACGCGGAGTCCACTGGGACGAAGAGGAGGATACAAGAGGCAAGTTGATACAAGCGGACTTGACGGAATTATTCTTCCATTCGCGATTGCGACAAGAGCGGAAATCCCAGGGGAGGAGCCTTACACGTATCGTAAGCCTCCAATCACCCACCTACCCGACGACGCTCGAACACGAATACACGTGTAATGTTCCACCCCATGCTGTTCGCCGTTGTTGCAACCTCTGGCTTCACCACTGGTCTTCAAGCATCCCCGAGGCGCCCCAACCGGGTCCTTGATCTGGCCCTCCTGCAGGGACGTGACACCGTCGAGTGCCTCCTGCAGCGATCGGGGGATGTGTGCGAGCCACGGGGCGAGGACCCTTCATCGCGCCGACGACCGAAGGACAGCAAAGGCCGCCGATCTGGCGTGTGAGTGTTAAAAACTACAGCCCGAGATTCAGCTCTGCTGATGGGGTTACCAGGGTGGCTCTGCCAGGGATCGAAAGGGCGGGGGAGGGGATTACTCCTAATTTCTGTTCGGAACCGGGGCTGGGGATGGGGGCCCGGGCGGGGACCGGGTCCTGGGCTCGGGGCCGGGGCTGAGGCCTGGGCCAGGGGCCGGGGGCCGGGGTCGGGGCCCGGGCCGGGGCCGGGGCCCCCTCCTCCTCCTCCTCCTCCTCCTCCCTCCTCCTCCTCCTCCTCCTCCGCCTCCTCCTCCGCCTCCTGATCATCATCATCATCATTGTCGTGATTAACGTCGACGCTGTGTTCTGCTATGCTACGCTCGTCCGTCGAGCATGATGGTGCCAGCCCGTGCTGGCGGGCGTGTCTGCCGCGCTCTCTGCACAAAAGAGGGGGCCCCCTCCTCGATCCCATACAGCCGCGGAGGCGGCGGCAAAAGAGAGAGTGAGGAAGGAGAGGTTGACTCAAAACTTCGCTCGAGTCGCCTCGGCTCGACATGAGCCTAAAATCCTTCTCAACCGTTCCGACCGAACTGGATCAAGAGAGGGGCCCTGCACAGTACGAATATGAAAAGGAATGATGAGAAAGAGCCCGACCCTATCCTCAAGATAGGTCGAGAAAAGCTAAAGCGTCGACGGCCTCGGCTTCAGCGTCAGTAGATGCCTGCGGCTTGTCCTGAGCGAGTTTGTTGGCTCGCTGTCGCTTCCTGGCTGACATGAAATCCTCATCGTACCTGATGATCCAGGTACGCCGTGCAAGCCACAGAGCCAGAGGCTTCCGTGCCTCGGGACTGTCCTTCGTGAGGCCGTCGGTGAGATTGAGGTCCGAGGGGACCCAAACCAGGTGCTGGTTCTTCTCGGGCCCGCAGTTCGCCTTCACATGTAGAACCTCCACGCCGGTCCTCGCATCGCTCAGGCCTATGCCGAAACTCTCCTTATTGTGGACTGAATCATAAACTCCTCGGCTGTCGATCACCAGCACCGAGGTCATGGATTGCGCCACCTCCTCCTGAGTGTGCGCGGTGACTGGAACTCCGTGCATGACTGACCACAGCAGGCGCATCAGGTACGCCGCGTTCTCGCCGTCGTACAGAGCCTGTCCCTCGCAGCCGTTGGTGCCGATGCCGGTGCGCTTGAGCTTGTACGATCTCCAGTCGGCGATCGATACTGCGCATTCCTTCTGCTTGAGGATCTCGGCCGTGGTGAACGCCACGATGTAGCCTCCTCGTTGTAGTAGTCTGCTTGCGTCGACCCACGTCACGATCACTAGGTCGTCCCACTTCAGCTTGCCGCCACCGTTGCTATTGAAGTTGTGGAACACCAGGGAATCACGAGCTGTCCGCTTCACATCGCGTATGAGGGCGTTCGTGTCCTTCAGGTCTCCGAACGTCGCCTCGTTCACCCGTTGAGCCAACAGTGACACCCGACATGAGAACTGTGGTGCTGTTTGTGTCGCTCTCCATTGGCATTTCATCAGGCCTGCCCTGAACTGAGTGACGTCCTCCGGCTTGAGCTTGTCATCCTTCGAGAGGTACTTGCCGGACTCGACCCTGATCTCAAGGAGCTGGTGACAGAACTCCTCCTGGCTAGCATGGATCTTCCCCGATGGCTCCTGGGTGATCCACATGCCTGCCCACATGCATGGCGTGCTCCGCCATGGAGACCACCGCAGCATCTCCTTCAGCATGTTCTTCATGTCGAGGTAGAACTTGTTGTCGCTGTCGCCTGCGATGCCAAAGTCGTCCACGTGCGAGCCAATGACCCCGCACACGGTGCCGTTCTGGTCCTGAATGATCCAGATGCATGGCTCGATGAGAACGCTCTTGCCTCCTGCTTCGTGGATCTTGTGGTCCACGTACTTCCAGAAAACCCACGGCGCATTCGTGATCCCGTAGATCGCTGCCAAGACTCTCATAGACTCCTCCTCGTTGATCTGCAAGGCCTGCCGGAGCTCCTTCACGCCCTTCGTGTAGAGCTTCCTCCACTCCTCGGTGTGCCCGGCCTGCAGGAAGGCGGACCTCGCGTCGGCTAGCTCGAAGGTCCAGCCGTGGAAAGCAGCCATCTGGAGGAGTGCCAGCTTCCCTTTTCTTGAAATGGTTGGTGACGCCGTGGGAAGTACCCGATCTCCGAACTTGTCCCGACTGACAAGGTCTGGATGTGAGAAGCCCAACAGAATGATACGGGCCTTCGCCTTGAACTTCCCGTCCGGCGTGCTCACGGGGTGTGGGTCCGACTTGTCCGGTGGTTCAGGTGGTGTCAAAGGCTTCCAGGTCAGTAGCCACCTCATCTTGATCAGCTTGTCCGCTGGAATATCTTTACCATGATTGTAGTCAGCGTAAGCCGATGCAGCCCGGACTGTCGGTACTTCCAGATGTTCCGCCAGCTCCCGTGCCATTGCCTCTTGAAACAGTGGCCTCTCCTCGGGGCTCAGGCGGCTAAACGAAACCTCCACACCCTTCTTGACCGTGTTGTTGGCCACTCGGTTCAGCTGCTTCTCCAGGTACGCGCTCGCATCGAAGCAGAACTCCTCCAGGTCCGTCTCGATCTCAATCCTCATCAGGTCCATCTCGGCCTCGTTGTTCGGATCCCGCACGAAGTTGATGATGTCGGTCTCGCTGGCTTCCACATGGTCGCTCGCCGCCTTGAAGAGGGCAGCATGAGCAACTTCAGCTGAGGCCCTTGATGAAGATGATCTCCCAAAACGCGGTTGGAAAGCTTCAGTCGGTACAGGTGGCCACGACACAGTCGGTTGCTTACCTCTCAATCTTGTGCGCTTAGTCTGTGGTGGCTCTGGTGCTGAGTTGTCCTCGTCGACCTCCAGGTCGTCATCTGCCTCCGTGACGTCGTGGGGTTCCACGGCCACATCGGGATTCTCGACCACCCTCGGCATGCCCTCAAGAGGTTGACGTGGTAGCATCCTCATGCCATCTGCCGTTGGGGAGGGCTCCCCGGCGATGTCGTCAAAGTCCTGGAGATGCCTCCAGACGTCCTCGAGCGGACTGTTGAGGATGTCGTCCTTCTTCAGGTTGATCTGGACGATCTCCGACTGCGTGGCTGGCCGCAGTTGCTCTGCTGCACAGCGCCAGCATCGGTTGCCCATGATGACCCAGATCACGCCGTCCTTGTTGCCTGTCTGGACCGCCGGCTCGGAGAACAGAACTCTGCCCGGTCCGATGAAGAGGCCGTCCGTGAAGAAATCCTGTCCGGAAAGCTTTCGCTTCCCTGTCGCAGCGTACGACCGCCAGACACAGACCCAGTCGCCTCGCTTATATTCATGTCGAGGTCGTGGTGCTGAGTTCTTCAGCTCAGAGATCTTCCTGGACGCCTTCTCCTTCAGGTAAGTCGCCTCTGCATCCGCTCGTACCCGCTCGATCTCGAAGAAGTCGGACTTCAACTTGCCAGTAGCTGCGTTATGCGCCAAGATCGGGTCCTCGGTGGGAGAGTACCCGAAAGCCCACTGCATCGGCGTGTAGCCCTTGATGTTGTCCATGTTGTTGGCCGCCGCAATCGAGATGTAGAACACGGTCTCGGGACTCAGCTTCGGGTATTGTAGGCGAAGCTTCCTCATTACCTGCTTGACGGTCGAGATGCGGCGCTCGATGTCGCCAGCCATCCAATGTGCTCCTCCTGGTTTCGCTGAGACGCCGATGCCGGCCAACTGGCAGTTGTCTTTAAACTCGCCGCCCACAAAAGATGGCTGAGGATCGACGAAAACCCACCTTGGCTTGGGATAGTGTTGAAGGTAGGCTCTGGCAAACGTCGTGAACAGCGTAGCTGACGAATCCGTGCCCTTGTCTTTGAGGCCGATCTTCGCAGTGATGTCTCCACACATCAGGCCGGTGGCGACCTCAGCGATGAGAAGAAACCTGGCCTTCACATTCAAGTCTGGAAACGTCAGGTCGGAAACGTCCATGACGGCTGCCTGCCAAGGTGCCATGGGGATGTCGAGGCTCGCCTTGACCTTGTGGGCAAGGCCGTGCTTGACCAGGTCGCATGCCTCGCAGCGTAAGTTGATCGCTTCTTCGACGATCCAGCGTGGACACTGTCGCTTCTTACACCAGTAAGCCAAGTGCTCGTTCCCTGGGTGCCCTGCAGCCTTGTGGATCCTGCTCAACATCGCCCGCACCTGTTCTCTTTCGGGATCCGTGGGCTCAGCGACGTAGATGCTCCCGGTGTCCCGCTCCATCAGGTAGGCATTCTCGAGGTCGTGGACAGCAGGGTTCTCCAGGGCCATGTTGAGGTCGATCGGGGTCCGGAGTTGAGCATGCCATAGCCGGGCAATTGCCTTGCACATCGCCTGCGGGTAGTAGGCTGTGGCTGCAGTGTGTAGCTTTCCGCTGATGACTCGGTGGCCGTGTGAGTGGTCACACACGGTCGCGACCTTGGAGAACTCCGGGTCGGTGGTCATGATCCTCCAGCCCTTCTCGACGAGCTCGTTGGTGTTGTAGTCCCTGAGGCCGTACATGCACCCGTCGATCCGATCCTCGAAGACGTGTCGTCCCCGACGCCTCAACTCTGTGCGTAGAAAGTTGAGCTCGGGAATCTTCCAGCCTTGACACCTGTGAGGCCACTCGAAGTAGATCTCGCCTCCGTTGTCAACAATCTTTAGCAACAGGAGAACTCCATACTTCACACGTCGTCTGTCTCGAAGTCGGTCTTTCTCGAGGCGTGCACGTGCCTCTGGTGTTTTGTAGTTGAAGTTCGTAAGCGAAGTCCACAGTGTGCATGGTAGCGATATCCAAGCCCTCTTCGGCATCACCTCGTCCAGCTTCTTGCTAGCGGCCTCGAACCCCGTCTTCGTGCTGAGGTTGTAGCCGTTCTCGATGCTGATCCGCTCCATGCTGAGGCCGATGTTGGTGCACTCGTCGGTCAGCATGCTGTTGGGATGGCAGCAGATCTCCACTGCCTCGGTGATCGTACCCACGGTCATGGCCAAAGTCAGTCCTGCGAGTAGTGTCCTGCGGCGTCCGGCCGTCAGAAGCTGTCTCGGCACCCGGTTCAGACTGGCCCGGGTACTGGTTCGGCCATCTGGACCTTGCGCCTGGGATTCGCTGCCCCCAACATCTCCAGCAGCGCATCCGGCGTGTGTCGGATCTCGGTCCCGGGGAGCCTCCGAAGTGAGGTGGCGATGTTGATCATCGCGGTCACCTGCACGTGATTGGCCGTCTCCCACAGGTTGCAGTGCCGCACCAGCTCCAGGCCGGACTCCACCAACTTCGGATGCTGCATGCTGAGGTTCGTCATCGGCGCCTTCGTGGTCGGAACGTAGAGCAGCCTCAGCCCGCACCGATAGCACGTCCTTGTCTGGCCCCACTGGTTGTTGACCGTGAAGTACTTGCGATGCGTCTGCCCGCACGGTCCCCGTGTGGTCCTCGGATCGCGGGGGTCCACCTGCAGTGCGAACGCCGGGTCCAGCTCCATCTGCTTCTCCTTCTTGCGACCCTGGTGCGCGTTGCCCGGGTCTTTCTCCTTGACCTTGCCCTCCGAGGTGACATACTCCATCTTCTGGCCGTTGAAGACGAACTCCCGCTTGACCTGGGTCGTAGGTCCGGAGCTCGCTGCCGCCGAAGGTGACTTTACCTCCGGGCCCTCCTCCTTCTTGTCGGCATCTATGTCGACAGGTACCCATTCGTCCTTGCCCTCCATGGAAACGCTCTGACTGAAACGTCGGCTTGCGGATCGCCGAAATCCGCTCTGAGCGAGTTCCAGAGCCAAAAGACGGCGGAGGATGGGATGACCATGATGGAGCTGCTCTACCTGTTATGGTTGATGGAGGTGATGTTGCTGTTATCAATGATGGTGTTGTCGTCAGTGCCGTATATACTGATGATGGTGTCGTTCTCATCTGAGATGATGCTGATAATGTCGTTCTTGTTTGAGATGGTGCTGATAAAGTCGTTCTTGTCCGAGATGATGCTGATAATGTCGTTCTTGTCTGAGATGATGCTGGTGATGTCGTTCTTGTCTGAGATGATGCTGATGGTGGTGATGTGGTCTTTGCCATCGACCATCTCTGAAACGCCCTTGCAAGACCCTCGGTGTTTTCCGCGGTCGGGTTTAAAATCTCGGAAACGTGCTTCACCAGGTCGAGGATGCAATGGCCCTTGCCTGGAGTCTTGCGAAGTTGCACCAGTTGACCCCTGATCACAGCCTCCCCGGTTCGGAAGTTCACGATTGCCGGCCACGACTCCAGAGCGGTCATTCCCAACAGAACGAGGGGCACGCCAGGACTAAGAGCGAAAATACCCAGAACGAAGCCCGGCTCGAACTCGACCGAAACCTTATACAGTGCTTTGCCCCACTTATTGTCTCCGAAACGAAACCACGGCCTTTCATTTTTGCTGATCTCGATCCTGGCCTGCGGGTTCGCAGCCGCAACGGCGGCGACCAGGGCCTGGACTGCGCGCTCGCCTCCGGCGGACGCGGAAGCCCCGCAATCAACCATGGCCTCAGAGGGGGCGAGACCGCTGTCGGTCAGCTCCGCCTGGTACAGCCCCTGGAGCTCGTCAAACCCGTGCGTGATCGTGTGAAACTCCAGGTAGTTCGCGTTCTTGCCCTTCTGGTCGTGGTCCCTGTCGCGGTACTTGCTGCCCTTGCCGTTCTTGCCGCTCTTGCTGCCCTTGGGGCCTCGACCATTGAACGGCGGTCTCGAGGGCGGCTGGTGTGGCCACGACGGGGGAAGGCGGCTCTTCCCTCCTGGACTCGATGATGGCTTGCCAAATCCTCGATCTTTGTGAGCTGCGGCCACTGCTTGCCTGGCTTGAACTAGAGTACGTGACGCCTCTGCTGCCATCGCCTGGGCCGCCTCGAGCTCCTCGTTGAGATGGTTGAGATCCTCGTCCATGGCCTCGGACTCCTCTGGCTCTGAGGCGAGCTGCGGCTCCTCCACGACGTCGTAGTCGTCCTCGTTCTCGTGGTGGTCGTAACCGTCGTGCTCCCACGCCTGAACTGCCGCTGCGTAGCCATCGTACCAGTCTGGCCCGTGTACTTCGTCAAGCTCTGCAACGAGGGCCGACTGAGGGCCTGACTCCGGACCGTACCGAGGCGTCGCCCTCGGTCCGAAGTCTCGCTGCACCAGCGCCTTGTCCTCCCATCTCTCCTTCAAAGCCTTGGAGATTGCATCGAAGTCCAAACGATTCTGCGTGACCACGCGGACGTCCTGCTTCTCCTTCTCGGTGAAGTCCATAGCCTCGAGCAGGAAGAATCCGCGGAGGACCTTCAGAACTCCCGAAGCATGGCCGAAGAACGTGGAGCCCACCGCCATTGCTTCCGAAACCTTAAGCTTGCTCGCCATGGATTCTTGTCGGTGAAATCGATCCGTCCGAGAGCCCTGCGAGCGAGACGTAATCGATTGTCGTTCATCTGCTTCTTCTGCTTCCTCAGCAGGGGCATCATCTGCTGCTGAGGGGGTCGGCGCATCGGGGCTGGGTTCCCAGTGGTCCCAGCACCTCTGGCAGTACCAATATCCACGTCCTGGTGCGCCACGGTCTCTGTCGAAGTAGCCGTAGCACTCCTGGCACTGCTTGTACTTGTCATTGTCGCCCATCTCCTCCAATAGACGCTCCAGCGCCTGGACCATTTCTGAGTAGCAGTCTTGCTCTCTGATCAGGAGCGCGCCCACCGTCTCGCCTTTGCGGCGCTTGAAGTCCTTGTAGTAGTGCTTAATCTTGTGGGCCGCGTCCGGGATAGGTAGCTTTCCCAGTGGACTGTTCCTCAGGTCGTCTAAGAGGAGGAGGTGGCCGTTCGAATTCTCATATCTGTCTGGATCCAACGTGGTCGCAAACGTCCGTATGGCGATCGTCTTGCTCTGTAGCATACGCCCGATGATCCTGTTCGCCGCTAGGTCCCTCTCTTGTCTCTTGAGAGTGCGAGGGAACCATTTCACAGCCGTCTCGAAATGACGCCAACGCCCTGGGTTGCCATCCCATTCGGGAATGGCGTCCTTAGACTTCTTGTCGTCCCCCTGCATGGTGTTCTGGTCCCTTCAGGAGTGCCAGAACTTGTCCGTGGATCTAGCTCCGCAATACCAATGTCGTGATTAACGTCGACGCTGTGTTCTGCTATGCTACGCTCGTCCGTCGAGCATGATGGTGCCAGCCCGTGCTGGCGGGCGTGTCTGCCGCGCTCTCTGCACAAAAGAGGGGGCCCCCTCCTCGATCCCATACAGCCGCGGAGGCGGCGGCAAAAGAGAGAGTGAGGAAGGAGAGGTTGACTCAAAACTTCGCTCGAGTCGCCTCGGCTCGACAATCATCATCATCATCATCATCATCATCATCATCATCATCATCATCATCATCATCATCATCATCATCATCATCATCATCATCATCATCATCATCATCATCATCATCATCATCATCATCATCATCATCATCATCATCATCATCATCATCATCATCATCATCATCATTATCATCATCATCATCATCAGCAGCAGCAGCATCAGCATCAGCATCAGCATCAGCATGTTCATCATCATCATCATCAGCATCATCATCATCATCATCATCATCATCATCATCGTCATTATCATAATCATCATAATCATCATCATCAGCATCATCAGCATCAGCATCATCAGCACCATCATCATTAACATCATCATCACCATCATCAACATCATCATCATCATCCTCATCAGCATCACCATTATCATCACCAACATCATCATCATCGCCACCATCAGCATCACCATCACCATCATCACCATCCTTTTTCATCACCACCGCCACCACCACAATCATAATCATCACCACCACCATCATCACCATGACCATCACCATCATCATCAGCATCATCAGAATCATCAGCAGAAGTATCATCATTACTGTCCTCATCAGCATCAGCATCAGCATCAGCACCATAATCAGCATCATGAACATCGCCACTATCAGCACCACCAACACCAGCATCATCGCCATCACCACCATCATCATCATCATCATCAGCATCATCATCATCATCATCATCATCATCATCATCATCGTCATCATCATCATCATCACAATCACAATCAGCACCATCACCACCTCTCCCTCCTCCTCCTCCTTCTCCTCCTCTTTCTCCTGCTCTTCCTCCTCCTCCTCCTTGAAGCTCCTCTTCCCAGAGGGCGAGGGCGAGAAAGGAGGGGGGGGCTCGAGGAGGAAGAGGGGCGACCGACCGAGGGGGGCTGTCCTGGTCTTTTCCCCTCGTCGTCCGGTCGGCCCCGCGGCCTCTGGTGGAGGGGGGCCCTCTTCGAGCTATCCTCGACCGTTCTTGTCAAAGTGGGCCGCGCCCCGCGAGGCCCATCTTGACGAGGTGGGCCTCGGGGCCCAGTCGCTCCGGACGGCCCCTCAGGCCAAGTTCGTTCCTTGACACCACCTTAGGCCGAAGCCGCCTCTACGTATCCTTCCCTCTTCATCCCCGTCCTCGTCCTGAGACCCGGCGCGTCCTCGTTGACACATTTTGGGGGTCACTGTGGTCAACCCTCCTCCTTGTCCTCCTCCTCGTCTTCCTCCTCCTCCTCCTCCTCATTTTCCTCCTCCTCCTCCCCCTCCCCCTCCTGAACCTCCTCCTCCTCCTCTTCCTCCTCCTCCTTCTCCTCATCGTCATCATAATGTTATTACTGTTCGTATGATGACCATGAGCACTGTGAATATTATTAATCATAGCATTCTCAGTCGTAGGACTAGTAATACCATTCTTAATATGATTAGTCGTAGTAGTAGTAGTAGTAGTAGTAGTAGTAGTAGTAGTAGTAGTGGTAGTAGTAGTAGTAGTAGTTGTAGTAGTAGTAGCAATAATGAGAATGATACTAGTAGTAGAATAATAAGTAGTGATAGTAGTAGTCGTCGTCGTCGTCGTAGTAGTAGTAGTAGTCGTAGTCGTAGTAGCGTTTGTAGTATTATTGTCAGTCGTAATATTAGCATCAGTACTAATCTTATTAGAATTAATATTGTTCTTATGTGTATTATTCTGGATCGTATTCGTAGTAGTACTGTTATCGTTGCTAGTATGTTCATGTTGCTTCGTAATATTACGAGTCTTCTTAGTATTACGAATAAAAGTTTCAATTGGTATGAATAGTACTACCATCCGCATTTATAATATTAGTAATACGCTTAGTCGTAGTAGTAGTAGTAGTAGTAGTAGTAGTATTAGTAGTAGTAGTAATAGTAGCAGCAGTCGTCTTAGTATTATTCCTCTTCTTAGTACCCCACATTATTCGTATTATCATTAGTAATATTAGTAGCATTCAGATCATTATCATTATTGTTAGCATTCGTGCTCGGTAGTATTCTTACTAATACTAATAGTAGCCTTAGTGTTATTATGTGTGTTATTAGTCATCTTCAAAGTATGATTATCATCATCATCGTCATTATGCGTATTGCGATATAGTCGTCTTAGATTATAACTGTTGGGATTCATAGTATGCTTCTTATTACTCAAAGTTGTGTTATTATTATTCTTCGTAGTATGATTCGTATCCGCCCTAATAATATGGCATTCATGGTTTCGTATGATCTATGTGCGTATTCTTGCTAGTCGTATTATTCGTATTGCTCGACTTCTTATGGTTATTCATAGTACCAGTTGTCGCATTGGTAGTATGATTCCTCTTCCTGCTCCTCATCATCCTCCTTCCCCTCCTCCTCCCC